AGAAAAACGTGACATCAGGATTGGAGGAAGACTCATTAACAACCTGCGATATGCAGATGATACAACCTTGCTTGCTGAAAGTGAAAAGGACTTAAAACGTTTCCTGATGAAGATCAAAAAGCACAGCCTTTGGTATGGATTACATCTCAATGTTAAGAAAACAAAAATCCTCACCACTGGACCAATAAACAACGTTCTTGTCAATGGAGAACAGATTGAAGTTGTCAAGGACTTCATTCTTCTTAGATCAACAATCAACACTCATGCAAGCAGCAGTTAAGAGATCAGATTGCATTAAGCAAATCTGCCGCACAGGACCTTTTTAAAGTGTTGAAGAGCAACGATGTCAGCTTAAGGACAAAGGTGCGCCTGACCCAAGCCATGGTCGTTTCAGTAACCTCATATGCATGCAAAAGCTGGACAGTAATAAGGAAGACTGTAGAAGAAATGATGCCTTTGAGTTATGGTGTTGGAGGAGAATATTGAAAGTGCCATGGGCTGCCAAAAGAACCAATAGATCCGTTTTGGAAGAATTACAGCCAGAGTGCTCCTTGGAGGCCAAGAGGGCCAAACTTTGTCTCTCATACTTTGGACATATTGTCAGGAGGGAACAGTTGCTAGAGAAGGATATCATGTTTGGTAAGGTGGAGGTTCAGAGACAAAGATGAAGACCCCCAACGAGATGGATTGGCCAAGTAGCAGCATCGATGGACTCAAGCGAGGCAGCAATAGTGAGGTTGGCATCAGGCAGTGTTTCGTTCTGCTGTGCATAAGGTTGCTATGGGTCGGTACCAACTCGATGGCACCTAACAACAACAACAACAACAATGAGGAAACTAGAGCTCAGAGAATGTAATAAACTTGCCAAAAGTCATAGAATTAGATGACTAGCACTGGAGCCTCTATTTGAACCCCAGGATGATAGAACTGACTCAATGACACTTGACAACAGCAACAATGCTAATGGTGCGGTGGTTAAGCACTCAGCTGCTAACTGAAAGGTCAGTGGTTCAAACACACCAGTTGTTCTGCAGGAGAACGATGTGCCAGTAAAGATTACATCTTTGGAAATCCTATGGGGCAGTTCCACTCTGTGAGTTGAAATTGACTTGCCTACAATGGATATAGTTTTGAGGATTTATGCCTGACTTCTTCTTACTATGATACTTCACATTAGCTTTGTACTCCAGTTTTTATGGTTCCCATTTTCAGCTGTTGTTTTTTTTTCTCTACTTCCAAGGACTCAACAACCGGTCAGTTTCAGCTCTTACAAGTGGTGAGGGGGCTTCTCTGAAAACAGAGACAAAGGTGAGCCACCCCTATATTTTCAGGAAAACCAAGGGAACCTATAGGTTATGAACTAGCCAGACATAGCCAGCAATATTCATACTTTTACTAAGGACCAGCTGTGCACCAGCATGAGATTATATGCATTATCTCATGTATGCCTCATCAAAGCTTACTCTCTCCATTTTACAGATGGAGAATACTGGGGCATAGAGACAAGTAACATCCCACATAGATAATCTCACTGATGAAATTTATGTCTTGCACTTTTTACAGTTGTATCTAATTTTTGTGGGTGGGGGGAATGGAGTTGAATATTTCTTTAATATTTTCTAGTTAAATCTGCAAGAGTCCAGGGGCCATGTTTTTCTTGTCCAGTACAGTGCCTGGCATTGAGCAGGCACCCAGGAAAGGTGGTAATGGAATGAGTTAGCTATTTAAGGCTTGATCTGGCCCTAAGGACTGCTCAGGGCAATTTCACACCCACCAAAGGACCGTTAATTTTCCCCTTTACACAACAATTCTAACAACCATGATAACTGAAAATGTAACTATTAGGCTGTCTATGATAGTCCATGTACTGAAATTATTTGCATCACCCAAATATGCACCCAATCACGCACATTTCATTTGTAAGTCGTTTCCAAGTAGCCCTGGTTTATTTATTCCGCCTGGGAGTGAGGACTCCAGGGACAGTCAGACTTGTTTGGTTCTCCAGAAGTACAGAAACTTGCTGACACCTTAGGCCTTTAGAGCGCTTTCCCCGCCCCTTTCCAAGGCAGTGTCTTTGCTCTAGGGGCGGAGCTGAGGGGAGGGAGAGGGGAGCTGTTGGCCCGGGACCGCTTCCGGGCCTTGGGGATAGGAACCTGGGCTCGGGGACTTAACCCAAGCTTCCTCAGGTAAGGCGGTCGGGGGGGTTTGGGTCTTTCAGGATTAGGGTCTGGCAGGATCCCATGCAGAGATGGCCGGGCCTTTTAGGAGAGTGAGCCCGATCCAGGTGGAAGGATCTAGGAAGGTACCCATCAGCTCCTTTCCAATAACATTGACGAAAGGAGCGAGTCTGTTCTCTTACAACCTTGTCCTTCCCCCAAGTGCTTGCTGTGTGGTGATGGGACAAGAAAGAGTTAGCTTGGGAAGATATCTGCCTAAGGAAAAACCTACCGGACTGAGTTCAGCTTTGGGAATGGCAGTGGCCTAGACTGCAGGTCATATTTATCCATTTGCCCATTAATCTCATTTCTTTATTTGTTCTTTCATCGTTCACTCATTTCTGCACTATTTGTGACCTTTTTGGTAGGCTCTGGAGACATCTTAGTCCAACCCTTTTGGAATTTAGACTGGTGGAAAGTAGTCTAGACTCTCATCTTGAGACTTTAATTGCTCTCTGAGTGATCCCTTTACTAATGATTGCTTAATAGATAGCTTTAGAGCCCTGAAGGAGAAGGAAGTAACCTGGGAGTGGAAGCGGAAAGCAACCAATCAGGTGAGGCATTGGCTGAGGCGGGGACATTTAAACTGGGCTTTGCAGCCTTGGTACCTTGGGATAAGCATTGGCCTGCTACCCAAAAGATGGGGAGTTCAAAGCCATCAGTTTCCCCAGGAGAGAAAAATGAGACTATCTGCTACAGTAAAGATTTAGTCTGGGAAACCTTTTGGAGTAGTTCTTCTCTGTTCTATTAGATCACTATGAGTCGGAATTCGGCACTGGGTTTGGTTTTTGAGGGGTGTTGGAGGGTGGCTAGGTGTTGACAAGGAGGGAAGGCAATTGCAGACAGGGGAAACAGTACAGATTACAAGTTATGAAAATAACCTGCCATGGTAGTTGTTATGTGTAGTCGAGTTGATTTCTACTCATATAGGATTTCCAAAACTTTAGATCTTGCAGAAGCAGAAAGCCTCATTTTCCTCCCGCTGAGAGGCTGATAGGCTCAAACCGTCAACTTTTTGGTTCATAGTTCAGTGTTGATAGTGGTGGTGGTTATGTGCCGTGGAGTCTATTCCAATTCATAGCGAACCTGTACAGGGTTTCCAAGGTTGTAAATCTTTACGGGAGCAGAAAGCTTTATCTTTTTTCCCGTGGAACAGCTGGTAGTTTCGAACTGCTGACCCTGAGATTAGCAGCCTGATTCGTAACCACTATGCTGCCAGAGCTCTTTAGTGTTGATAGTTCAGACAACCAAATATATCAAGAGATTATAGGGGTGTTTTCCTGGGAAGAAAATTGAATGCCAGGCTAAGGCCAGGATTCTAGAGTTCTGTATGTTTCAGCCTTTTAAAATGTTTTATTTTTTGATAAACATAAACATGTTGTGATCTTTGAAAATTTATTTTGATCTATGCTATTCTCCCATGAGAATCATAGAGACTTTTGCCTCCCAAATATTAAAAACTTGGTGATGCTTAATCAAATGAAGCATATATTCAAACAAGGAAGGTTTTGAGGAGGAGAAGGTAAGTGACCTGTTTTGCTCTGTGTTTGAGGAGAAAGATAATAGTGAATCTCTAAAAAGCTCTTTTCTCTTTTAGGCATAGGACATCATGACGCTGTTACCTGTCTTGGAGCCGGGAGACAAGCCTAGGAAAGCAACATGGTCAGTAAAGAAAGGATTCAGACACAGAAAAACCTGAGTTTTTGTCTCATTTATAAAAAGTTTACTTTTTTATCATCAACAAAAGGTAGAGATTAAACTGTCTGCAGTTTCTGGTAATTAGACTCAAACTGTCTGAGTTGGTCTTCAGAGGAAATCTAGGAGGACGATAATTACCATAGAGCAGATGTTGATTTTATTAAAACCCGTTTACCAGGAAGAGGAAAGCAGGGACCATCTGGTACCCTCTGCTCCAGCACTGTGACTTCCCCCAAGCTGTGACTAATTTTTAAGATTTTCAGGGAATTGGATTTAGATTAAACCGGTTTCACTGTTTCTCAGTTGCTTGCTCAGCCAACCCTCAACAACCAACACTGGTCTGACCAGGGCATTTGCCGAGAAGATGCTGGAGGTGCAACAGTCTGGAAGGGAATAGTCTCTATAATGGAGATAGTGATGAGACGTAATCAGCACTGAAGCAGTACTCAGGAAAGTGAAGAGGAGACAACGTTTCCGCAGGACCTTGGAGGAGGAGAGCCTCCATTCTGGTTTCCCTGCATCCTCCATTCTTTTTTTTATTTAAAGCAAGCAAGATTTATTAAAGTATAGATGTTCTCGCAGAGAGGAGAAAGGGCTTCCGTCTCACAAGTGAGTGATAACAACAAATTAGTTTCTGGTTTCATTTTTTTATGCTGTTTTTCCTTCAGGATAGGCTCTCAGTCTGATAATTGCCTCCTAATTCCTAGGCTTTCCTATTATAATTTAGGGGCCATAATTGGTCATTTTTTCCTGGGTCTGACGTACTTTTCCCCCATTATATCAGTCCATTATAATGATATGCATTTGAGCTAACCATAAGGTTGATTTATTATAGTGGTGTTATAACTTGTTCCTTGTTCACATCAGATCAATACTTGCAAAAACCATGTGGGAACCATATCTGACCTCCCCTGACTTTCCAAGAGGGAAAGAGAATCAAACTCAAAATTAGCCCAAGGCTGATTTCTATGAAACAGAGGTCAAACATGCTTCCACCTTATAACCTTCTTTATTCTGACACCAGCCATCTCTCACACAGCACTCTCTGCTTCACATCTGGGTTCAATAATCCATTTCAATGGCCACACAGAACCCATGACCATAGGGTTTGTTAGGGAAATGAACAGGGTACAATTCAGGATCAAAACCAACTCAGGATGCAGCAGTTCTCCAGTGAGTAACACCTCTTGCCTGCCATACTGCAGGCATGCCTCACTCTTGTTTTCAGCCTCTCAGCCATGTGGTCACTTGACCTCTGCCTTGCTTGAGCACCTGTTACAAAGTTCTTTTAGCCAGTTTGTAAATGCCCAAAGGATACCCTGCATCCATTCTTGCTCTGTACCCGATATAAATCTGACCATGACCTATTTATCTTAAAGCTCATATGTGACTCCCCCTTGATCTTAGGATAAAACCAAACTCCTTAAAGTTTAGACCCACAGAGACTTGCATATTCTATTCTTATCTGTGTTTTCAAGCTTACATTTTCTTACTTGTTCCTTTGTTCTTTTTCTCTTCCTTTAACATGCCTGTCACAGTCCCACTTAGGAACTGTATTTGTTTGTAAAAATAAAATGGAAGCAGTGTCATCTGAACTCCTTCCTCTCCTAACTTCAGAAGGGGAGAGGAGAATCTTCATCAGCATCAACAGTCCAAGTCTGATTCCTATGAATTGGAGGTCAGACATATCTCCTCTCTCCAACTTTTTTTTATCAGTTCTGACTAAAGTCATCTCTCCCATGGCACTCTCTACATCTCTGCTGGGTTCAGTCATTCATTGCAGTGGAAACTGGCTAGGGAAATGTTGTTAAGTGCCATCAAGTCAGTTTTGACCCATAGTAACCCTGTATAGAGTTTCTGAGGAATGGTTGGAGAGCTTGAACTGCCAACCTTGAGGTTCAAACTGATTTTGCAGTCCAGCACATTAACCCACAGCATCACACTAGAGCTAGCAGGTTCTAATTCAGGACTAGTAACAGTTTAGGAATAGTTATGGTCTAGACAGCTTCTCAGCCTTGCCCACAGGCAGGACTCTCATTGGCCCCTGGCATTTTGGTCCTCAGCCCCTCAGGCCTCTTGCACCAGGCCAGATTTTGCCCCACTCAGACAAGTGTTACAAAGCTTTTAGATCCACTGATAAATACCCAGACACCTCACTCTACCAGTAAGCCTCCTGCCCAAAGGTGCTCAGCTCTTACTCTGTGGGTTGGGACACCCATTGTAATTGCCTTGCTCTGTGGGACAGGAAGCATATTGCACCATCTTATTAGGCCTTTCTCCTTATTCAACTGCCTCTGTTTCTTTGCTTCTGCTTCTCACCATTTTACACAATCTCTAATGTTACAGCTCTTTTTCTCATATATCTAGAAAGTTCTCAGGGCAGGTATCCCAGATCCATAAGACACACTTCACTCCTAGCTTTTCTTTCTTGGTGATAGTGTGGTCTCTCCTCTGTTCTGGGATTAATTCTCTTTTAAGTCTAGGAGATGACAAAACTAATCAATTCCCTTGTTGGTTTCCATATGCTTTATTTGCATGGTCCCACCCCTCACATGGAGTCCTGGTGTGGCGCTGTGGGCTAATGTGTCAGACTGCAAAGTTGTTTGAACTGAAAGGTTGGTGGTTCAAGCTCACCAGCTGCTCCTTGGAAACCCTATACAGGGTCGCTCTCAGTCGGAATTGACTCTGACTCGATGGCACTTAACAACAACAACGCCTCACATGGGTACCATCCTCTTCATTTGCATTATTAGCAACTTATCAAGCCCCTTTGGTAGACCATAAGCGCCTTATCTGTGTAGTCCCACCCAATCATTTGGTGGGCGTTACAAGACTGTGGTGAGAAAGGCCATATAAAAGTTATCCATTGCACTGTGGTAGCATAGTGGTTATGAATCAGGCTGCTATTGGTTATGAATCATGGTCAGCAGTTTGAAATTACCAGCTGTTCCACTGGCGAAAGATGAGGCTGTCTGCTCCCGTAAATATTTACAGCCTCGGAAACCCTGTACAGGGTCGCTATCAGTCAGAACCGACTCCACGGCACATAACAACAACAACAACATTGCACTGCAATGCTAGTCTCTCTACCTGAACCACTCTTTCCCTTCATCTTTCATAGCTAACTTCTATTTACACTTTGGATCTCAGTTCAAATGGTGCTTCTTCACGAAGCCTTCTCTGACCACCCAGCACCACTTCCTTACTTCTCCTTTCAGGGTAAGGTTCCCCTGTGATACGTTCTCATAGTATACCTATTCTGTTCTCCTTTATAGCACAAGTGAAATAAAATAGGTATTTGTGAAATTATCTGTTTAATGTCTTTCTTTCCAATGAGTCTTCAAAGGCCATGAAGGCAGGGACATTTTTTGTCCTATTCATCATGTATCTGCATGACTGTTCTCTTGGTTATTTAACCTTTCTAAGCCCCAATTATTCAGTTGCAAAATTCAGTGTTAACTATACTATCCTCATGAGGGTTTGTTTTGTTTTGTTTTGTTTTTTTAAGGTTTTTATTATGGATTGAGTGAAAGTTTACAAGGCACATCATCAGTTTCACATTCAACCATTCATATAACTTGTTTCCTTACATTGATTATAATCCCCTCCATAAAACATGAGTTAAAAGTATTTCTCTCTGTCCACTTTAGTTTTTAAAAAACACACAAACAAAAAAACCCACTCAGGCATATATAATAATTTACATCTCCAAAGGGCTCATTCTGCAAGTCTGCTCCTGGCCACCAGTTCTTAGTCCTTCTCTTCTTAGTTGATGAATCTAGAGTCCTCAGCAGCGCCCCGTCTCCATGCCCCCATCTCTGCCTCCATCTCTGGCGCTGCTGCTTCTCTGGATAAGGTCCCGCATTCTATTTCTGCGTTCCTCTCTTGATGGTCTTAGGGTCCTGTGTTTCTGGACTGTAAGATTAACCACTCCCCTTTTTTTGTTACAAAATTTCTACTTTTATAAGTGTGACAGTCGCAATTAGTCATGATAACAATTATTCACTATAGAATCTTATGAATCTTATCCCCATCTCCTTTCACCAGACCCATCTAGACAAGATGATAGCTATTCCGTGGGGACTCTTTCTTTCCCCCCACCCTCTTAAACTAAGCTCCCTCTTGAAACTTTGTAAGCCAGTCGCTTCGTGCCTTTATTGCCCCCTCATTTTAGGTAGCCAATGTCTAAGTTGCCCGTTCCTATCTACCCTGCGTACAGAAAGGATAGCATTGATACTTGATTTGAAGACTCTTTCCTTCTCTGTTGGTATTTAGAATAACTACCGCTCTGAGTATAGGTCAGGTTCATCATGAAGATGT